ATTGTTGAGAAGTGATTATCGAGAACTGCTTATCAAAGTTTGCATTGTTGTCAGGCCCTGCCCTGCCCTGTCCCCTGCCCGGCTCCCGCCCCCCCGCCCCCCATGTTGTCCCGCTTTAACCAGTGTTAAAATCTGGTCACCCTATCTTTCATATCACTTGTCAGGCACTATTTTAGGAGCTAGGGTATATATATCAGTAAATAAAAGAGACAAAAGTCCATGATATCATGGAACTTAAATTCTAATTCAGGCAGGCAGCCCGGAATTAAATTCTATAGTATGTTAGTAAGTTAAATGCGGTTGAAAATAACAGGAAAATGTATGAGTAACCAGACATGACAGAGAAAGGAGCTATAGTTTTAAATGGCCTTACCAAGAAGGTGACTTTTCAACAAAGATTTAAAGGACAGTTAATGAGCCAATTGTATATGTGAAAGAAGATTCTGAACAAGGAGTGTTTCTTGTAAATAGAAAATTACCAACACAAAGAACAGGGGGCTGAATAATGCCTGGCAAATGCCTGAGAACAGTTAGATCTTGGTGGCCATTGTCATGTGAGGGGAATGAGGTAGGGAGAGAAAAGTTCAAATTAGAGAAATGGCAAGAAGAGCAGATGGTGGAGAGACTTCTGGACCACCTTGGAGAGAAGTGGGAAACATTGCTGAGCTTTAGCAGTGGAAACTGGGAGACAAAGGGTGTTAGAAAAAATTTCGGATAGAGACACTTTGAACTGAAATAAATTCTAACGCTCTCCCGCCCACTCACCAGCAGCTTGGGTGGGGATACTCTAAAATTGAGTTGCTAGCCTTAAGAAGGGAGGTGAATAACACCGGTTATTCAAAACAACAGGCCTTAGCACCACTGCCCCCCCAGCCCTTGGAGAATCCTTTGTAACTCATTAATGTCCTAAGGCAAATCTTCAGGTACTCAGTTTACATAACAAATACATGGCCTTTATGGCTAGTAGCTAGTCTCTGTTTAACAATTTTAACTTAAAAAAAAATCCAAGCCTGGCTTGGGGCCTAGTTACGGAGCCGGCCACAGGCCACAGGCCACATACACTGGGGTTGCTAAACAACAATGACAACTACAACAAAAAATTGCCAGGTGTTGTGGCAGGCGTCTGTAGTTCCAGCTACTTGGGAGGCTGAGGCAAAAGAATCGCTTAAGCCCAAGAGTTTGAGGTTGCTGTGAGCTCTGATGCAATGGTACTCTACTGAGAGCAATATAGTGAGACTTTGTTTCAAAAAAAAGTCCAGGCCTTTGGACAAAGCTTCATTACTTCAGCCAATTACAATTTGAAGAATCTTTATGTCTACCTATAGCCTATAAGCTCCTCCCTTCCCTTGTGATGTCATACCTTTTCTGGCCAAACCAATGTATGCCTTCCATGTATTGATTTACGATTTTATGTGTAATTCCTGCCTCCCGGAAATGTGGAAAGCTAAACTAACCCAACTACTGAAAGTCCACTTGCTCAAGGCTTCTTGATGCAGCGCAAGAGCATAGTTCTTAAATTTGGCTCAGAATAAACCTCTTTAAATTATTTTACAGGATTTGTTGTCTTTTCTGTTGATGGCATGATAGTGCCTTGGTCTAGGTTGGTGGTAGTGGACATACTGAGGTCATGTTATAAATAAATATTTATAAAATTATATAATGGAAACTATTAAGCTATTTTACATAATATTAAACTATTTTAAAATAATTTATATTTATAATATATAAATTATACAATACATAATATACAATAGTAAACTATTTTAAACTGCATGCCAACTTTATGGACATGCTGTATATCAGGCATCCTCAAACTATGGCCTGTGGGGCACATGCAGCCCACCTAGGACATTTATCTGGTCCGCCGGGTGTTTTTGCCGCTGCTGCCTGTCCTGCTTAGTAGCCGACTCATCCTGGGGCCCGCAGTCCGGCCCTCTAACAGTCTGAGGGACAGTGAACTGGCCCCCTGTTTAAAAAGTTTGAGGACCCCTGCTGTATGTTGTTGATAGTAAATTGGGATGTGAGAGAGGTTTTTCTCCTAAGTAACTGGAGGGATGGATTTGTCATTAACTGAAATGGAGAAGACTCGGAGTGAAGCAGGTTAAATCTCATGCATCTATTTTAGTCATGCAAGTGGAATTGTGGAGTGGAAAGTTGGCCGTGTGAATCTAGGGAAGAAGTCCAACCTGAGGTGTTCTAAGCCATGAAACTGAAATCACCAAAGGGAGGAGTTTAGATAAAGACAGGAGGTGTAAGGAGAGAACGTGTTGTAGGGTGGAAGAAGCTATAAAAGAGACTGAGAAGTAGCAGGTCGTTAAGTAGTGTGATGTTTGGAAGCCACAGAAGGATCGTTTTTTGAGAAGAAGAAGAAATTAACCATGCCTAATGCTGCTGCTGAAGTTAGAAGACGTCTGAGAATTGACCATTAGGTTTAGCAGCATGGAGGGGGTTAGAGACCTTGCAGAAGCGGTTTTGGTGGAGTAGTTGGAATGAAAGATCAATTAAAGTAGGGAGAATTGGAAACTGAGTATAGAAGTCCTTTCAAGGAGTTGTGCTATAAAAGTCTGGAGAATTGGAGTGGTAGCCTAAGGGTGAAGTGGGAACCAAAGAGGGTTCTGCAAGGTGAGGGAAAATGCAGTATGTTTGGATGTTGATGAGAATGATCCAGTGGAGAAGGAAAAAGTTGATGATACAGAGGAGAGAACTGTTGGAGTGATTATCTTTGAGGAGGCAGGAAGAGGTGGGATCCCATGCTAGGAATCCTATCTAAGTATGAAAAACTTGGCCTCATAGGAACACCGGTTATTCAAAACAACAGGAGAGTAGGCATATGTGTAGGTAGGTGATTATTATAATGGGAGTTTTGGGAATGTTCTTTAATGATTGCCTCAGTGTTCTCAGAGAAAATAACAGTGAGTCAGGATATCAAATTACCAGCAAATAGAGTGACCCAGGGTTTGGTCGTTGACAGTAGCAGTCAGGGGTAATGACATAATATTCAAGGCTAGGAATGTTTAGGGAGGATAGAGGACAAATGGTCTGCAAGTGTGAATGTGGTGTGGTCCTGTAGGAGGGCTGTGGGAAAAATAGCCCCTGCCTCAGGGGAGAGGCTGGTTCAAGAAGAGGAAGGGAACATTCAGAGAGGAGATTAAGGCTGGATAGTTTTCATTGATTGTAGAGTGTGAGTTCCTATTCCTTGCCTGACCACCGTATCAAATTACCATAAATGAAGTGGTTTAAAACAACAGGATTTTATTTTCTCACTGTTCCGGAAATCAGAAGTCTAAAGTCAGTATCTCTGAGCAGAAATCAAGGTGCTGCCAGGATGCACTCACTCGGGAGGCTCTAGGAGAGAGAATCTACTCCTTTCTTCTTTCAGCTTCTGGTAACTGCTGGCCATTTGTAGCCATGATAATCCTAGATAACATAATCTCCCCCCTAAATGGTCTTCAACTTAATCAAATCTGCAATGGCACTTTTTCCACAGAAAGAAGGCTTGAAATTACAGGTAAAGTTACTGATATCTTTGAGGGGCCATTCTTTAGCATACCACAGGACCATATGGGGAACGTGCAGAGCTGCAGAGCAATTAGAGTGAGGGAGATGAAGGTGACCCGAGAGTCTGAGGATTCTCCTTGTGATTGACCTGAAGAACACAGTGAGATTAGTCCTGTGGACTCAAGGCAGGTAGTGGTGGAGAGGCTGAGTACTGGGGATTTGGCAGGGGTAGGTGACAGAGTTTTTTCTAGATCTCTGCAGATGAAGTCAAGAAGCCTTGGGGAAGAATGGAGACTTTGGAAAGTTGATATTATCAGAGGACATAGCTCAGCTTCTACCATACCTTATTAGTGAAACTTTTTCTGAATTTTTTTTCTCTGCTCAGGCAGAGTTAACTACTATGCATTGTGTATGATAGCCATTATTCTTGTGATGATATAATGTAGTAATATCTTCACCTTCCTGTATCTGTTAACAGGCTTTAAGTTTAAGATTTCCCAATTCTCGCTTCTGTACTTCCATTAAACTCTGTGTATCTATCTCTCTAGGATACACTTCTTCCGTTGTATCAAAAAGGTGTCTATACCCAGGTTGTACAGTGTGTCCCTGAGAACAGAGACCCTATCCTGTCATCTGTTCCTAGTGCCATGTCTAGCACCTAACATATAGATGATTAACAGAGGTGCAAATGAAAAAAATAAATAGCCATTTACCTTTTGGGATTATACTTTAAATCACTTTTGATGACATTCATGCTTTCAGATTTTATGCAAAGGGTTATACATATACATATACAAGTCGTAGCTTGCACCTATCATCCCAGCTACTTGGGAGGCTGAGGTGGAGGGTGTGGGGATCACGTGAGGCCAGGAGTTCACGTCCAGCCTGAGTAATATAGCAAGACCCCATTTCAAAAAACGTAACTAATCAAATAAAAATAAAATATATTTTTAAGTCTTTTTTTTAAGAACATGGGCTAAAGTTTTATTTGTTCATTTCTTGCATTTGAAGTACTCTGATGATTTCATTGGCCTGAGATTCTTTGTCATAGTCCTTTAAAAAAAATTACATGTGGGTGGCGCGTATGGTTCAGAAGGGTAGGGCACTTGCCCCATATGCTGGAGGTGGCGAGTTCAGACCCAGCCCTGAGCTGTGATGCATGGCATTCTACCCAGGGCAAAAGATTGAGGCTATCTCAAAAAAAAATTAATAATAATAAAATAAAAAGAATTACATGCAATTTCTTATTAATATTTAGAAATTCTACTAAGCTCTTAGCATTACTCACAGCCAAGCTTTAATCATTAATTATGCCTTATGAAAATGTGTCACATCATTAAAATTTGTTATAGCCATTTTCAGGGTCTTTAATGACTTCAGTGTCCTTAAAGTTTGTAATAAGGCTTTACTATTGCCAGCTTTTAAAAATTTCTGCAGAAACACATTCAGGTAAGCAGTTAAATTGGCTGGCCTATATTAAGTCTTGATTGTTACTTTTTAGAATGCATTTATCAGTTATCCTTTTTTGATTAATGAATACTATGATTTCTTTCATTTTAGTGATGGAATGCCCAGAGATGGAAACTGGCTCACTTTTTCCCACAAGAATTAAGAGACATGTGAAAGACAAAAGAATTTCAAAGACTGCTAAATTGAATGTTTCTCTTGCTTCAAAAATTAAAACAAAAATACTAAGTAAGTAACAATAATTTTGTTACTTTTACATTTCTCTGGACAATTAATATACAGTAAAACCTCCATAGTTAATCACTTCCCTACTTTGACCCCCTCCTTAGATTGCCCTAATTTTCATTGACTGGTTATGCACATATGAGTACAGCAGGCCACGTTCTGTATGTTGACCACCTCTTTATGTGGACTAGTTTGTTACAGTCCCTTGGCTGGTCAACTTATAGAGGTTTTACTGCATTTACTACCTTATTTTATCAAGTACAGAAAATTACGAAAAGGATTATTCTGTTAATTGACAATTTTGTTTCTCTCTCATCCTTCTATCTCCCCAATTCCTATTAGTTGTGTGGTTTTGATGGTTTACCCTCAGTAGTGACAGCTGAATTTTTAGCAGTGAGGTTAGGGTGGCCCAAGACTGCTGCTTCCTATATTGTAAACAAACAAATACGACTTTTGTGGAAAAGAGTTAGCAGACTGTATTTAGATTATTCTAGTATGCCGCAGCAACTGGATGATGGGTACCCTAAACATGATTGTCCTAGACTGGGTGCTGCAGAGGGGGATTTTATAGAGCCAGTGCTCATCCTGAGGGTACTGACCTCTTTGTGAATGGAATTTCATGAATTCTGGAGTTAAGATGTCAGAAGGGAAAAGAAAGGAGGTGGGAAAACTCCCGAAGATAAATTTTTGTTACTTTTGAAAATTAACTGAATGGTTCATGCCCATCTTAGCAGGAGTGGGGCGGTATCCTTGTAGTAACATTTCCTGCTGACATAGCTCCTGCGAAGGATAATTGTGTGTGCCTTATGAAATAATCGAACCTCCTGAGTGTCTATAAATCAAAATATGATTTATATTGGGTCCTACCCAGGTCTCTAGGACCACCCCCTGCAGTGGCTATTGCTTGCTCCCTTTGGCAGGACCGTGACACACACCCCCTTATGAAAGAGTATGCTGAGTTTGAGGAGTACAACAGGAAAATGTTATTATCCTTTTTTTTTTTGAAATCCTGAATGGGTTCTCATCTGTTTCCATATACTATGCTAAGGGTGGCTATCTGAAACTACTTTCTCTGTGCCAAAGATAAAGTACTTTTTTGGATCCTGTTTTTTAGATTCCCAAATTTTCTCTGCACACTTAAAAATATTCTTACATTTTATAAAACTTATTTTACATATCCTATAGTTTCACTCAGTGGAATATGTTATTACATAGTGATGTGTGAATCAAAATTATGAAAATACAATTATGCTTTAAATATACTAAAGGAACACACTATATTTAAGGTGAACTTTACCAAGGAATTCACAATGTAATTTCTTTGCTGCCAACTGAAAAGCATTTCAAGAGTGGTTTAGATCATGTTCATATAGTACTTTTAAAGAGAAGAGGTCAACTTTAGATTATAATAGATGCCTAGAAAGAAGAGGCAGGATATTTTGGATGGAGGTAGAAGGTTCCACAAGGTTAGGTGATCTAACATTACAGTAAGTATGCTCCTTTTGTGCAAAGTTTAAAAAGTGTTCTTGGGGATTATTAACTAATTCATTTAGTTCTGGAGTCACAGAAACTGGCTTCAAAATTTTCATAGATGGGCTACCCATAGGAATTCCTATGCGACATTTCCACTCAGAGCAACAGAATCAGCTTCTCCATTCTATTTCTCAAAAGATAGGAAGCAAGGTAGAGCAAGATTTGGTTTTTGTGACTGACCTAATTATCTAGAATGTTGTATCTGTGTTGTGGCCTCTTATTCCTAACTACTTATACACTTTCTGCATTCCTCACAACTCTTTTTTTTTTTTCTTTTGAGACTAAGTCTCACTATGTTGCCCTTGGAAGAGTGTCATAGCTCACAGCAACTTCAAACTCTTGTGCTCAACAGGTGCCTGCCCCAACACCTTTAGAGATGGGGTCTTGCTCTTGCTCAGGCTGGTCTCAAACCTGAGAGTTCAGGCAATCTACCCGCCTTAGCCTGCCAAGTGCTAGGATTACAGGCGTGAGCCACTGCATCATAACTCTTTTATTCCTCATCTTCTCTCTTGCTTTTATTTCTTTCATCTACAAACACTGGGTGTATTTTTTTTTTAAACTACATTTGTATTGTCAATTTTCTCCTTTTCCAGCCTCCAGTTAAAGCTTGTGAGGTCTAAAATAGTTTTACTAAGGAATATGAAAATTCATTAAGGAATAATATAAGTTTGATATTAACTTATTTAAACATCTTTTCACAGACAATTCTTCTATTTTCAAAATCTCTTTAAAGCACAACAACAGGGCATTAGCTCAAGCTCTTAGTAGAGAAAAAGAGAATTCTCGAAGAATTACAACTGAAAAAATGCTATTGCAAAAAGAAGTGGAGAAACTGAATTTCGAGAACACATTTCTTCGCCTGAAGCTAAATAACTTGGTATGGAAGCTATATTGATTTTGAATTCTAAATTATAACTTAAATCTTTTAGCTGTATTCTTATATAAGCTTTAAAAATGTTTTTTTAATTGTAAAAAATTACTATCCGTCAGTATGCCATGTAAATCTATGTTAAAGGATAAACTGTTAATGGGTGATAAAATGGGTGCCTTACATCTTAAGTGTGCTGTGCAAACCAGTATAATACCTTGATCAACATTTTCTTGCTTATCATAAGCAAAGGTTGGTACATTAATCCTGTGGTCCCCAAGCCCCAGGCCATCCACCAGGAAGTCAGCAAGTGGCTGGTGAATGAGCAGAGCTTCACCTGTATTTACAGCCATTCCCATTACTTGCCTCACTGCCTGAGTTCTGCCTCCTGTCACATCAGCGGCAGCATTTAGCATTAATTCTCACAGGAGTGTGAAGCGTCTTGTATGCTGTGTATGCAAGAGGTCTAGGTTGTGTGCTTCTTATGAGAATCTAATCCTCCTTTCCTCCCATCCATGGAAAAGTTGTTTTCTATGAAATCAGTCCCTGGGGCCAAAAGGTTGACACTGGCATATGGGGCTGGCACCCTACTTCTTGAGCCACAGGTGCCACCCCGGTTGACATGTTTTTTAAAAATAAGCATAGTTCTTTCAGTGCATTAGCAGCTCTGGAATTACAGATTGTATTTTTTTAAATCTTAGCACTTCATTGGCCACAAGCCAAGTAGAATGAAGATAGTATTATAGTTGTTGCTTTTCCTTGCAACTTCTAACTCTGTTCATAGAGAGAACAGTGATAGCCAATGATTAGCTAGGCTGCAGCTATAGATCTAAATCCAAATGAGTAGAACTTAAATAAAAATGCAAAAATGACCTACTGTACTTGAGTTGAATTGGGTTGAATTCCTGCGACTGACAAACTATATTCTCTTGCATGTGATCTTTATTGAGAAGATGGGAAAATGTTTGTGGGAAAATTTATAATTGATAGTCAGAAGCATTCAAATTGTACGTGTGTGTCTGCTTGTGGCTATTTCGACCGAACTTATATGTTGTAGTAGTACCTTTATAGCTCAGTGTGACCTTGATTTTTAGCTCAACATGATTTCAATTATTAAATTTTCTCACACTGAGGACCTTTGTAAGTGCATGGTATTATAATAAACTCCAAGTTTTAACTGATTAAAAGAGTTCTTTATTTTTCATATGCAGAATAAGAAGCTTATAGAAATAGAAGCTCTCATGAATAATAATTTGATAACTGCCATTGAAATGAGTAGTCTTTCCGAGGTGAGTAGAATTTATGTGGGAGTAGCATCAGTTTTTAGATTACTGAGGATAATTGAGACTAAATAGCATGAAAGTTAAAAATTCATATTTTAAGCTTTGTGCAGAGGAATGATGATAATATCAGTCAACTGGTTAACAGCATAGTATTATTTTGAATAATCCATTATTGAAGTTTTTATATGAAAATTAGGTTTTTATAAAAAAATAACAGACAGCTCAGTGGCCTATACTGGCCCCTAAACAGACTTAGAAACATGAAGACATTAATAGAAAAGTGGCATTTCAAATAGAAAAGTGTTTGTATCATTTCCTTAAAATAAGATGGACCCAAGTCCATTCTATTTGGGGAAAAAATAAAGGCATATCCTACTTTATGCCATTCTCTAGAATAAATTCTATATGGATTCTAATACACAAAAGGAAATCATATAAAATAAGAAGAAAATAACATATGAATTTAAGTTAGATAGGAGAGGCCTTTCTATACCTGGAGCAAAGATAAAAACCATAAAGCTATTAATGGAATTTCCTCAGAAAAAAAATTTTCAGACAGTTAAGAGTCATAAAAATGAAAGGTAAATTGCAAACTGAGGAAATTATTTAAACATATGGCAGACAAAGCATTAATATTATCAGTAGTTATAAAAAGCTGTAATAATGTAGCATAAGGAGAATAAAATCAGTACAAAGTCAGAAAGGGAGAAAGACCAAATATAGTGAAATTAACCCAAGTATTTAAATAGGAAAAGTAGTGCTGTGAAGGGTAGTTAAGGAGAAAGCACAATGCATACTATATGTAATATATAAACCAAAGAAAGGATAGTGAAATCTCAATTTTTTTTTTTAGACAGGGTCTTACTGTGTTGCCCATGGGCTAGATTATAGTGACCTCATCATAGCTCACAGTAACTGCTAACTCCTAGGCTCAGCAGATTCTCCTGCCTCAGTCTCCTGACTACACGTATGTGCCGCCACACTGGATAGATTTTTCTATTTTTTATAGAGACAGTATCTTGTGGTGTTGCTCAGGCTGATCTTAAACTCCTGTCCTATAGTGATCCTCCCACCTTGGCCTCCCAAGTGGTAGGATTATAGGCATGAACCACTGTGCCCAAGCTAAAGTCTCAGTTTTAGATAAATTCCTTGATAGATTCTGGAGGCACTGTAATGGTTTAAAGCCTGTCTTATAAATGGGATTACCTATATAAAGATCCCAGTATAGCTACTTCCAGTTTTGTGACCATGGACTTAAACTCTTTGAACCTTAGTTTTCTCATCTGCCAGGCATAGATAATGGTAGTGTACTTACAAAGAGTTATTATAATGAGTTAAATGAGGCTAGCCTGTGTTTTGACAATAGAAAGTAAAATAAATGTTAGTTGTTACTTTTTTAATTGTACTTATAAGGCTTTTTACTGAATTTAAATGCATTGTCTTTGTAGTAAGAAGGTATGTGCTCTTTCAACCTATGTGGTCAATATTTAGCTCTTCTGTCAGATTTTTATGAAAGCTAGCCAAAGGATAGGTACTTTATGGTCTAACTTAATCCGTATTAGGATGAAGAAAGGATTTGTGTAAACGTCCCTGTGGAATAATGTTGTCAGGTGGTTTGGCTAGCTGCTAGCATTATTAAATGTGATGCCTAGGACAACTAGTGACCAGGGGTATGTCTTTGTACTTATTTTGCACTCTTTTAAGAAAAACTGTTTTTCACTGATGGGTGGGAGTAGTCAGGGAGGAGGCTCTGTTTTGTTTGAAGGTACAGAATTGAATTGCCTTGAATAAACTGCTAAGAGGGGAATCTGATGACAACAGCTGGGAATAGAGTCAGCACGGGAATTAACTGTAGTAATTAGAAGAAAGAAGCTTACTTGGGGAGATGTGAGAGTGTCTCCACCCATACTACCAAGAACTTTGGAGGACAGGTAGCCCTAAAAAATTGCTCAACTATTTGTTGTGAGTTAATAGGATGTAAAGACCTTCATTGGTTCTTTAAAAAATCTTTTGGTGACGTCAACATTGTTCTCAAATACTTTTTGTGTGGTTCTCTTTGTGAAACTAGAAGAGGGCTGAGATCAGCACCTCCATTAAGGAAAAGTGAACAATGGAGAGCAGGTGGATGCAGAAGCTGGGGAGAGAAGGCAGAGCGCACAGTCTCGGTGTCCTCTTTCTTCAGCATTTTATTTAATAGACTAACTTTTGCATATCAAATTTTGTAATTCCTTTCTGTAGTTGTTTGGTGGGAAAGGGTGATAGGTCATATGGACATGTGGTTTTAACATTGTAACAATATAGAAAAGTGTAGAATGAAGCTTCTCATGTGCTTTTGTCCTTCCTCCTGCTATTTTCTTCTCCATTCCCCTTTCTCCCTACTCCACCTGCATCATGCAGGTAACTTCTCTCATTTATTTTTTTCTAGAAGAACAAATAAAATTATAAATATTTTCTTTCTTTTTTTTTTTTTTTTTTT